GGATTGGCCTCCTGCAGTCTGAGGGGGTCAGGCCGTTATACCCGCCCTGGGCCCTGGATGGGTTCCTAAATGGGGCAACTGAGGACAGGGTGTGGCCTTAAGCCAGGGGCTCTCTGCAGCCCAGGCAACCCTAAAGGGGCCGATCACTGAAGTCTGTTGCTGACAGCCCCCCTGGCCCACCCGGGACCCGCTCCTCTTTCCTTGAGGAGCCGAGTGGCATGTCACGGAGCCACCGCAAGCCAAGGTGGCACCAGCGCTGCAACGTGATCGTGTACTTTCCTCTTGCAGGCCTAAGGAGGCAGCGAAGATGCCTGGGTAACATCTGCTCTCAAGACACATCAGCTCCCCGATGGTGCACAGCGCCCTGGGTCCTTTCCCGCGGCATTCACCAGGCAGAGTGCCCCTCCCCGGGCGGAAGAGAACGGAGCACCCACTCACCTTTCAGATGCAAACCAGCCAATCAGAGCCCAGACTCCCACTTACCCAGGGCAGGTCCCAGACGACTGGGCACGGCCCCACACTCCAGAGTCCACTGGAATTCTTCGCACTGGCCCATCCTAGGCCTGCTTACCCCGCTTGCCTTTCCCGTGGGAACTATGATAAAGGTTCTTTTTTTGGTTAATCCTCACCCACAGATATTTTTCCATTGATTTTTAGAGACCGTGGAAGGGAAGGGAGAGACAGCGAGAAATATCGATGTGAGAGAGACACATTGACTGGTTGCCTCCCAGATGCGCCCCGACCAGGGCCAGGCTGGAGCCTGCAACTGAAATACGTGCCCTTGACTGGAATTGAACCCGGGACCTTTCAGTCTGAGGGCTGAGGCTCTATCTACTGAGCCACACCAGCTGGGGCTATGGTAAAGGTTCTCACCCATGTTTCCCCCTCACTCCCTGTGGCTCAACCCCAGTGCTTCCCCGTGTGGCCCTGTGTGGGACCCTACCCCCTGTTTCTAGGGATCTGTGAGTATAAACGTCTTCCTTCGTGACAATATTTAGTTATTGTCTTTAACATTCACAAAATAAATCATTTGAAATAAAACAACAACACTCCCACAATCTCCCCCTCCCACCTGGTAAAATCTGGGGCCTATCTCCTCAGCCCTTCCTCTGACTCTGCCTGTCTCCCTGAGTAGGTGGTGTCTTTTTAACGGGGTCCTACTCCCTACCCAGCTTTGTCATCTGCTCTGACAGGTTTACCATAGTTGTCCAGGCTGAGACGAAAATTTTGGCATCACTTGTAACGGCACCATTCTACCATGTGGGTGAGCCGCCTGTGTTGTCTTATGAGAGTTTTTTTTATTATAAAAACAATATTACAGTCACCAGCACATTAATTGAGTTAGTAACTAGTTGCTTAATTTGAAAAGCCAAACACATCATACCGTAGTGCTCATTTTAATCTCTTGAGGAATTCCCATACTGTTTTCCAGAGCGGCTGCACCATTTCCCATTCCCACCAACAGTCCATGGGCCTTCCCATTCCTCCACATTCCCGCCAACACTTGTGTCTTTTGGGGGTTTTTTTGTGTGTGTTGTTGTTTTGTTTTTTTTAATGGAATAACCATTCTTCCCTAGCTGGTTTGGCTCAGTGGATAGAGTGTCAGCCTGCAGACTGAAGGGTTCCGGGTTTGAACCCCATCAAGGACACATGCTGGGGTTGTAGGCTCGATCCCCAGTAGAGAACACGCAGGAGGAAGCCGATCAATAATTCTTTCTCATCATTGATGTTTGTATCTTTCTCTCCCTCTCCCTTCCTCTCTGAAATCAATAAAAATATATTTTTTAAAAAATGGAATAGCCATTCTAACAGGTGAGAGGTGATAGCTCATGGTTTTGATTTGCATTTCCCTGATGATTAGTGATGTCAAGCATCTTTTCATGGGCCTGTTGGCCATTTGTATGTCTTTTTATATTTTTATTTTTTGAGAAATAGCTATTCAAGTGTTTGGCCCATTCTGTAATAGGACTATTTGGTTTTTAAAAATTGTTTTGCTCCTGACTTGTGGGAGCTTCTTCTTATTTTGGAAATTAACCCCTTATCAGGTTTATGGTTTGCAAATATTTCCTCCCATTCCAGGGCTTGCCCTTCCACTCTGTGGATGCTTTCACTTACTGTGCAGAAGTGCTTTCGTTTGCTGTAGTCCCTCCTACCTGGTTTTGCTTTTGTTGCCTGTACTTTGCGCATGCAGTCCACTGATGTCCAGCAAGGCCGGGTAACTTCCTGCTGGGGAAACGAAAGGTTCTCTCTTCAACAAATGGTGCTGGGAACATTGGATAGGATGAATTGTACCCCTACCTTACACCACACACACAAATCAACTCAAAATGGGTCAAAGACTCCAAGATTACATGGATTAAAATCCAACCTCGTCTGAAATACTATAAACTTAAAATAATTATTCATATCTCATAGAAAACTCTGTTCTCTCTCTTTTTAAAAAAAATCAAAATCCATGGCTTCCCTTGGCCTTTCTATTTCCATGTTAATTTTATACGAAATTTGTACAGTTTCACCCAAAATATGGGGAGGTGTTTAATCGGAGTTACACAAATTAGATTAGGAAGAATGGCATCTAATAATGTAGTATTGAGAATCCCAGTCGATAAAGTTTAAGTTTCTTTTCATTTAAGTCTTTAATGATTGTATGAGTAAGTTTTAGAATTTTCCCTGAATTTCATATGGTGGTTGTTGTTGTTTTTTGTCATATTATTCTTAGGTATTTGTTTCTATGTTATTGTATGTAAGTATGTTTTTTTTTAATTTCATTTTGTAATGATTGATTCCTGGAAGACCTAAATGTTTCAGTGTGTATATTTGATTTTAGCATTATGAGTGATCTTAATACTTTTCTGAATTTTCTGATGTTATATAAATTTAAACTTTTATTGCTTGTATGACCACAAAAAAACAATAAAGCAATTTTTCTTGCACAAACATATTTTAAAATAAGTATTTCTCTCAGCTAAGCTCGGATTGTTTGTGAAATGCCAGCAAGCCCAGGTTATAGAAAGATCTGGCGTGCTGGTATTTGGAGTTGCTGGTTCAGGGGCAAGTTCATGAGATTTGGAAACAGGGGAGCAATTGTGGAAGGGATGGTGGAAATTGAAACACCTGAGCCAGCCCTCGCTGGTGTGGCTCAGTTGGTTGGAGCATCGTCCTGTACACCAAAAGATGGCAAGTTCGATTCCTGGTCAGGGCACATACTGAGGTTGTAGGTTTGATCCCTGGTCAGGGCGTGTGGGAAGCAACCAATGGATCTTTCTCTCTCACAATGATGTTTCTCTTTCTTCCCTCCCTTCCTAAAAAACAAACAAACCTGAGACATAAACTTCTGAGGCCTCAGAGATAAGGCTACTTTCTAGGTAACTTCCTGCTGGGGAAACGAAACTGAGAAAAGAGCTAATGGATAAGGCTACTTTTTAGATAACTTCCTGCTGGGGAAACGAAACTGAGAAAAGAGCTACTGGTTAGTCAGCAGAGATGAGGGTGGAGGTCAGGGAGGAGATTAGAGCACAGCTGAAAGGCTGTCAGAGGTTGTGTCCTGTGAGGTTTGAGGCCCTGGGTTAATGGGGGGAATCCCAGGGTGCTCAGACTTATGCTGAGGTCCCCCAGCTCAACTGGATTTTATATTTGTTTATTTTTATCTTTTAATTGATTTCTTTAGAGAGGAAGGGAGAGGGATAGAAAAATAGAAACACCAATGAGAGAGAAACATTATAGATCAGCTGCCTCCTGCACGCCCCCTACTGGGGATCGAGACTGAAACCCGGACATGTACCCTGACGGTCAATCAACCCGTCACCTCTTGGTTCCTGGGTCCATGCTCAACCACTGAGCCACATCAGCCAGGCTTAACTGGATTTTAATGTACTGACACCCCCTTCTCCTTCTCTGCCCACAGCCCCTCCCTGCCTGCCCCTCGCCTTTGTCTGTGATATGCCGGGGATCCCTTCCCACCCCGCATAGTTACCTCCGTCCTCCTGTGCTTGGGATTCTAATTTCCTCCTTCATCCAACCCCACTTCTCCTTCAGGAGTCTCAGAGGACCCAGCAACAGTATTCATTATGTTCATCTCTCCTGTTACTCCTAGAGGTCTGGGGGTGGAGTGGAAGGCTTGAGCATTGGGTCAGTCTGCCACCTTGTTCCAATCTTGACCCTTCTGCTCTTTACTTTCTAAAAACTGCTCAACTGTTCTGGTCCCCCGATGGCACGCTCTCTCCATTTCCAACCTGTTGAGTTGCATGATACTTTAAATATATCTTTGCTGCCTGGCTGAGGTGGCTCAGTTCGCTGAGCGTCGCCCTGCGCACCAAAAGGTTGCCAGTCCAAAAGGTTGCCAGGCACATACCTGGGTTCCAGGTTTGATCTCTGCTTGGGGCACGTACAGAAGGCAATCAATCACTGTTCTCTCTCACCTTGATGTTCCTCTCTCACCCCTCCCCCTTCCTCTCTCTAAGCATGTCCTCAGGTGAGGACTAAAAATATTTAATACATCTTTGCTGTCATTTCAGTAGGGTGTTGAGCAGATGTTCAGTCCACCGTCTCAAACAGAAGATTTCTCAAGTGACCTGTGAATCGGGAAGACGACTATGATTAATGAGTAAGTGAATCCCCTTCACAACCTCTAACCCAGAGGTTCTCAACCCTTTGGGGTCGAACGACCCTTTCACAGGGGTCACCTAAGACCATCCTGCATATCAGATATTTACATTACGATTCATGACAGTAGCAAAATTACAGTTATGAAGTAGCAACGAAAATAATTTTATGGTTGGGTCACAACATGAGGAACTGTATTTAAAGGGCCAGAAGGTTGAGAACCACTGCCTAACCTATAATCCAGTCTTCCTCCTACACTTGAATACCCCAGTGACGTGGCACTCACTACTCAAAATATAAACTGTGGACACGCTGGTGGCCTACCATCACTCCCTCTGACCTCTGAAATGCGTTCACCTCCTGACCCCCCTATCATTGCCTTTCATTTACGGAGGGCTTCCAGAAGCCCTTGTCAAGATGAACTGTTACCTGAGGTTTACTCAGAGGCAGAATAAATGCTGGATCCTTGAGTGACCTGGCAGAGGACGAATGCGTTTTGAGTGATAGGGAGGAGCGGGTGGACCCTGGCAGGGCCCCTCCAGAGAGAAGCTCAGGTGTGCAGAGCAAAGGAGGTGGGGAAGCAGCTGAAAGGCGAGTCCAGGCCGGGAAGCTAGAAACAGCACTGGGCTCCCGGAGAGTGCAGGGTCCACGCTGCAGCTCACCGGCCTGCGTTGGTCCAGTCCCCGGAGGAGTCTAGTCCCGGAGCTTTATAACGTTAATAGGTGAGACTGCGCGAAAGGTCCATTCTAAACTGACTTTCCTTTCTCATTTCTCCTCGTTAAAAAACACCAAAAAATCACTTTAGATGATGTGTTTGAAATGTTAAGAAATGGAATTTTTACTGGAATTGCATCCAATGTAGAAACTATTTGGGAAGAGTTGGCTCCCGCAGGACTAGAGTGAGCGGAGAGAGCTGGCACAAACCGGCTTGAATCCGGTCGGACGACTTCCCACCCGTGTGACCTTTGACAAGAGGCCCAGGTCCTCTACCCTCACTCCTCGCCCAGGAACCGGTGTGATAACGGGCACGCACATCAGCACATCATGGTTGTCGGGGGGCGTGGGGGAGGTGATACTGTCGGTGGTGCAGGACCCACGCTAATCGCTCCCGGTTGGGTGTTTAGAACGCACCCTCCCCTCCAGCCGGGAGCGGGAGGCTCTGTTCCCGGGACTCTCCTGCCTTTTCCCCAGAAACCCCGCGGGTCCCGTCCGCGCTCCGCTGACATTACTCCCCCGACGCCGCGGTCTGCGGACCGGCTGCTGTGACGGCGTTTCGTGCCCTGTGTTCAGTGCATCGGGGCCCCGGGGCATGTAGGCCCGGAGCTGGGAGAGGGGTGACCGAGCAAAGAGAGGGGCCGCGACTGGGAAGGGGCCCGGAAATGGTAGCACAGACCCAGAAACGAAACTGAAAGCTCGGACCCGGAGCCGCTGCCCCGCCGTGGCGGGTGCTGAAAATCGCCAAGGTGGGCCCTCAGGGGACAGGGGCGACCTCAGGGGACAATCCTCGAGGACGCTGGGCACATTGAGATGGGGGGGGAGCGTTATCAGTCTTTCCATTCATTTTATCACTTAGCACATTTACTCGCTCCAGGCGTTCACAGGGGCCTGAACATAGACTGCTGCTCACAACAGCTCTGCGAGGGAGGTACTATTTACCCCCCTTGACAGATGGGGAAACTGAGGCACGGGGAGCCGAAGTAACATATCCTCGCCTGTAAGAAGTCCAGTCAGGATTCAAAGTCAGGAAGTCTGATTCCTGGATCTATGCTGCTAAGGGCTGCCTCTCATTCATTCATTCATTCATTCACTCATTCATTCTTCACTCACACATTCACCTAAACAGACCATGGACCTCATTAGGCCTGCCCCTAAGGATGCAGATATGATTATTCTCTAGAACAGCTATAACAGCCCCATTTACTGAGGAATCACCGAATAACAATGAGCATTGTCTCATTAGTCTTAGCTCTAATCCTCCCGATAATTCTCTAGAACAGCTATAACAGCCCCATTTACTGAGGAATCACCGAATAACAATGAGCATTGTCTCATTAGTCTTAGCTCACGTAATCCTCCCATTTAGTCTGGTGGAGATTATTGTCCCTGGTTTTTTTAAAAATATATTTTTTAAAAAGAGGAAGGGAGAGGGATAGAGAGTTAGAAACATCAATGAGAGAGAAACATTGATCAGCTGCCTCCTGCACACCCCCCACTGGGGATATGCCCACAACCAAAGTACATGCCCTTGACCAGAATCGAACCTGGGACCCTTTAGTCCCTAGGCTGACGCTCTATCTACTGAGCCACACCGGTCAGGGCAATTGTCCCTGTTTAATGGATGGGGACACTGAGCCGGGGTCACTTTTTGTCACGCTGACTCTGAGCTCAGGACGCCCACAGACTCGGGGAGGAGACAAGTGCCACCTACTGTGTCCTCAAGACAAACTCCAGGGGTGCCGGGTGGACCCAAGAAACCTGGGGGGCATAGAGGGGCACCTGGAGCTTATCAGGGGAGAGATGAAAGCAGGTGCGAGCTGGCCTCAGAGCAGCCGGCGGTGCTGGGGCTTTGGAGGCCAGGAGCCGTGTGGCCACAGTCCCCACCCAGCCCACTTGCCTCACTCACCCTGCCAGCCCCTGGGCACTAGGATTGGAGAGTGCAGAATTCTGAGGTTTGTTTTTTTCCTCACAGGGAGGCTCCTCTGGCCGGGGCACAGCTCTGAGGGGTGGCTGTGATTCTGAACTTGTCGTCTTCCTCGACTGCTTCAAGAGCTATGAGGACCAGCGGGCTCTGCGGACAGAGATCCTCAAGGAGATGAGGGCGCTGCTGGGATCCTGGTGGCAGAAGCCGGTCCCTGGTCTGAGCCTTGAGTTCCTTAAACAGAACACGCCCGGGGCCCTCCAGTTCCGACTGGCATCCACAGACCTTGAAAACTGGATGGACGTTAGCTTGGTGCCCGCCTTTGACGCTCTGGGTGAGTGGGCAAGACGCCCCGGGGTTCGGGCAAGACCATTAGGAGTAAGTCAGAGCCAACAGTTCGAGTCCTGCCACCAACTTGCTGTGTGACCTGGGCCACCCTCTCTGGGCTTCCGTTTCTTTCTTTTCTTTTTTTAAGTATATTTTTAAAATTGGTTTCAGAGAGGAAGGGAGAGGGAGAGAGACAGAAACATTGATGATGAGAGAGAATCACTGATCGGCTGCACACCCCCCTACTGGGGATCAAGCCCACAACCCAGGCATGCGCCCTGACCATGAACGGAACCGTGACCTCCTGGTTCATAGGTCGATGCTCACCCACGGAGCCACGCTGGCTGGGCATGGGCTTCAGTGTCTTGACTAAACATACCGGGTTTGGACCAGACAAGGGCCAAGAAGGCCCATTCCTCCTGGATCTGTGGTCCTTGCTCCAACAACTGGGGAGAGTTTCCTTCAGCCACTGCCTCCTGCAGCGCAGCTCAGCCCTTCCACACACACCCCGGAGGAGAAGGCAGGTGGGCACATGCCCCGCAGCAGGGGTCTGGGGACAAGGCCAGAATTCTGCAAAATCTCATCTTTTATCTTAAAAGCATCAATGGGATTTTTCACTTCCCTTTGTAATAAACCCATGCTTGATTTAATATAATAATATGCATCTGCGAAATGCAGATAGTAATTACAGGACAATAGTAGTTTGTTCTGGAAAGACTTTATGCATTAATGCATATAATGAACTCAGAGCAGTGCCTGGCACATGATAGGGCTATATGAGTGCTTGCTATTCTTATTTCTATTCTTATTATTGTTTCTGTTATTATTATTATTATCATCATCATCATCATCTTCATTTACCATGATGCTCTGGGAGATAGTTGTCTTGAGTTTATCCAGGGTTCTGCTGACCTGGCGGACAGCCACACTTTCCTAAATACCCACCATCATAATAGCTACTCCTTATTAAATGCTTCACTATTCCAAGCACTTGACATGTTTTGTCTCATTCCTCCTCAAAACAAACCTTTGAGGTCTGCACTGTCTCATCTTCCATTTTACCAGTGGGGACCCTAAGGCACAGAGACGTACGGTGACTCATGCGAAGTCACACAGCAAGTAAATGACGTCAGGGACCTAGGAAGTTCTGGGAAGTGTTTACGTTTCCCGAGCCTGGCCCAGGAGAGGGAGGCACATACCGTAGAGCTGGCTCTGCGTTCCCATCCTGCCTCCAGCTGTATCACTGAGTGTCTTTGTGCCTCAGTTTCCCCAGCTGTAAAGGAGGTGGAGAACTGCCGGCTTTGAGTGGGGATACAAGGAGGGGATTGGTGTCAAACTTTCAGCACAGTGCCCGGCCTGTGGTAAGTGCTCAAAACATATTAGCAATTACTGCTAAGGAATCAGAACCTCTTGCCTTGTATTTCTCCGGCATCATTTCCTCTTCGCAGGGCACCGATTAATTAAAGGCCTGTGCAGTGGTATTTTAGTATGGCCTGCGGGCAGCCGCGGGGAGGGAAGGATTGCCAGGTTACAGAACAGCCGACTCAGCAGGAAGCATCTTGCCTACTAACCTGGGAATGAGGCTGCACTTCTTCCGACGACCGCTGGGGGCGCCTGGCCATTTGGGAGCAGGAACCCTCCCTTCTGGTCCAGAGCTTTCTTTTCCTCTCTGGCTCCCTGAGACCTCCAGGCTCTCTTCCTCATCCTCCAGCGCCCATGCAGGCATACCCTGTCCCTCAAATCCTCCTCACTCTCCCCCAGCGCCCGCAGCTGAGCCCACACCAGCACTGCCCTTCATCCTGGGTCCTCAGCTCCCTTCCTCACTCACAGGCCTTCACATCCCCAGGTCAGCTCAGCTCCAGTGTCAAACCCAAGCCCCAGGTCTACGCCACCCTCCTCGAAAGTGGCTGCCAGAAGGGCGAGCACGCGGCCTGCTTCGCCGAGCTGCGGAGAAACTTCGTGAACACCCGGCCGGCCAAGCTGAAGAACCTGATCCTGCTGGTGAAGCACTGGTACCGCCAGGTGAGGCCGGCAGTGCGGGTCCTGCGCCAGGCGTGTGCCTGATGGGACGTGTGCCTCCGTGATAGTGAGACTGTTTCCCTATGTCTAGCAGCCATTCGTGTTTCTCTTTCTGGGAATTGTCTGTTCATGTAATTTGCCCATTATTTTCTACGGGGTTAGCTGCCCTCTTCTTGTTGATTTTTTGGAGCTCTTTATATATTGTGGGTGCTGGTTTTTATTTCGACAGCAGTGCAAATCTATTCTCCCCACCTGTGACTTATACTTCACTTTGTTTATAGATCTCTTGACACAGAAAATGTTTGTGTTTTAATGTAGTCAGGTGTGTTCACCCCTGTCTCATGGGAGGTGTGCTTTGTGTGTCTTGTTTAAGAAGTCTTTGCCTATTCTGACTTTCTAAAACTATTCTCCCATGTTCCCTCCCAAAAAACTATTTTAGCACTTTCTTTTTTTAAAAAATATATTTTTTATTGATTTTTTTACAGAGAGGAAGGGAGAGAGATAGAGAGTTAGAAACATCGATGAGAGAGAAACATCGATCAGCTGCTTCCTGCACACTCCCTACTGGGGATGTTCCCGCAACCAAGGTACATGCCCTTGACCGGAATCGAATCTGGGACCTTTCAGTCCGCAGGCCGACGCTCTATCCACTGAGCCAAACCGGTTTCGGCAGCACTTCCTTTTCATATTTAGGGCTTTGAAACTGTCTGGGGTGTTTTATGTACGGTATGAAGTATGTGCCGTCTGTACACCTCCGACCGCAGCCACAGGAATGCCCTGAGCCTGCACTTGGTCCTCCTCCTCCTCACGCAGGCCTGGAAGGAGGAGATCCTGGAGGCCAGTTCCTGCTCAGCCAGGGACTCGCTGTGCTTTCCTTGGGGGATAACCATCTCCGACCACCCGCTGGCCCCTCCCTGGCTGCTCCCCCCTCCTGGGGGCTTGCAGCTCGTACCTCTCCCTCCCCCACCACAACAGGACCCAAGCACCTTGCTGACGCCCCAGCGGTGAGGGAGGGTGGGCAACACCAGGCTGCTTTGGGAACAGGCTTGGCACACAGCACCTCGTCCCAGGCTCAGCCTGCTGTCCGCCCCGGAGACTGGGCGATCCTACAAACTTCTCCAGAGAGCTAGCTCCCCCTCCCCTTCCTCCTGTGAGCCGCCCCCGCCACACACACACACACATGCCCTGTCCTCTTGCAGGTGTGCCCAAAGGCGGGGCGGAACCAGATGCCCCCTGCCTACGCCCTGGAGCTGCTGACCATCTTCGCCTGGGAGCAGGGCTGTGGGAAGGAGGCCTTCAGCCTGGCCCAAGGCCTCCGCACCGTCCTGGGCCTGATCCAGCAGTACCAGCACCTGTGTGTTTTCTGGACCACCAACTACAGCTGCGAGGACCCTGCAGTGAAGAAGTTCTTGCAGCGCCAGCTTGAGGGACCCAGGTACCTCCTCGTACCCAGCACCTGCTCTCCTGTGCCTGTGCCTGTGCCTGTGCCTGGGGAGAGCATTAACAATGATAAAGCAGGTCGTAGCTAACGAGAGTCAAAGCCAACTGCTACCAGGGCACTTCCTCATACAGCGCCTTCAGCCCCAGGTGCAAATTAGAATCACTTAAGGCAGTGGTTCTCAACCTTGGCTGCACATTAGAATCACCTGGGAATCTTTTTAAAATCCTGATTTCTGGGCCTCATCCTCCAGAAATTGTTTCTTTGTTACTAATGTTGTGGCCCCACCCATAATAAAGAAATAATTTCCGGAGGATGAGGCCCAGATTCTAATGTGCAGCAAAGGTTGAGAATCACTGTCATAAGGGATGTTGTTTTTTTAAAATATATTTTTATTGAGAGAGAGGGAGAGAGAGAGAGAGAGAGAGAGAGAGAGAGAAGAATCAAAGATAAGAGAGAATCATTGATCGGATGCCTCCTGTATGCCCCACACTGGGGATCAAGCCCACAATCCAGGCCCTGATGAGGAATCGAACCATGACCTCCTGGTTCACAGGTTGATGCTCAACCACTGAGCCATGCGGGCCGAGCGGGGGGGGGTTTAAAGCATACCGCCGTTTTGTGTGTGAGCGTTTTAGTGAGGCCTAGCACATTCTGATGACTTGCTAAGAAGTGAGCCCACCTGGGAACCCTCATTAGATCAAGGCAGAGTATCCCAGCACCCCAGGGGCTTCCCCTGTGCCCCTCCCACAGGGAACCCCTTTCTGACTGTGATCATTACATTTAAATGGGACCGTACAGCATGGACTTTCGTGTGTGCCTTCTCTCTCCCAGAATTAAGTCTTTGAGATTCTCCGTACGGTTGCGTGTAGCTGTGGCTCCTTCTCCTCCATTGCTGAATAGCATTTCATTGTATGAGTTTATCAGTGTGTTTTCCATCCTGCTCACCTCGAGTGTCTGGGCTGTTTCCACTCTCGGGCTCTTACAAAGAGGGCCGAGACACATGGCCTCGTATGTCAGGGCAGACACTGGGTCCTGGTATCTTGTGATTCTAACGTGCAGGTGGGGTTGAGGCCGTAGTTCTCATTTAATCTCAGACCAGGCCCATCAGACCAGGCGCCGCTGTGATCCCCATGTTGAAGATGAGGGAACGAGGCCCAGAGAAGCCAGTCATCTGCCTCCGGTCACACAGCTGGAAAGTAGCAGAGTTGAGATTGGAACCAGGTCGGCCTGACTCCAGAGCCCCTGACTTTGGCCGTCTTGCTAACCAGAATCTTCTTGTCCCCGTGGATTTGCAGGCCCGTGATCCTGGACCCGGCTGACCCCACGTGGGACGTGGGGGACGGGGCAGCCTGGCGCTGGGACCTGCTGGCCCAAGAGGCAGAGTCCTGCTACGACCGCCCGTGTTTCCTGCAGGCGGCAGGGGGCGCTGTGCAGCCCTGGGAGGGGCCCGTGAGTGAGGGGCTCCTGGGACGCTTGGCATTTACACCTAACTTGTGTTCGAAGTGTTTTCTGTGCTGGAGGCCGTGGGGTGGGGAACGGAGTTGAAAAGTGGGGACTGCAGGCGTGTATTGTCTGCTTACCAAGTGTCCCACCTCAGGGGGACCGTTTTATTTTTTTAATTAAATCTTTATTGTTGAAAGTATTACATATGTCCCCCTCTTTCCCCCACTGACCCCCTCTAGCCTGCCCTGGGGGGAGTTTTTTATAATGTGTCCCCTTCCTAAGGGCACCTCTTCTCATTTGCACAAGGCACCCTACAGGCTACCTCTCCCTTCCCCTCTCTGAGCCGCCGTCACCCTGACTGAGGTGGAGGGGGGGGGCTGCCAAGAGAAAGAACGTAGAACCCTGCATGTGTAAGACAGCTCCTTCCCCAACCTTCCAGGACCTTCCACGCACTGGGCGCTCCGGTGTGGACCACCCCATCCTGCGAGACCCTGCCCAGAGGACCCCCACGGACGGCAGCAGTGTTGATGCTGGATGCTCCAGGGCAGGGGACAGGCGGCCCTTATGCCCAGCTCCCGGCCCCTCGGTGGACGGCATCGCCCCCTGTACACCGGAGGGGGTCCCGGGTCTGTCTCAGGTCCCCGCCAAGGAGCTGGACCGCTTCATCCAGGACCACCTCAAGCCGAGCCCCCAGTTCCAGAAGCAGGTGAGCAAGGCCGTCGATGGCATCCTGAGCTGCCTCCGGGAGAACTGTGTCCACAAGGCCTCGAGAGTCGGCAAGGTGAGCGGCAGGTGGAGACACCGAGGGGACCCGCTGGGGGGACCGCCGTGGGGACGGGAGGGAGTGACAGAGACACGGCTGAGGGCGGACAGAGGAAGTGGACGTCATGGAGGGCAGTTTGCTGGGGGAGGGATATAAGCTAGTGTATAAGAGCCAGCTGCTTTTTTTTTAATGATAGTTTTTTTTTTAACCGCTATTACCATAATCAGATCACTTCCCTTCTCTGCACAAAACCCTCCAAGGTTTCAGAGAGGACAGGACAGTGGCCTCAGGCTTGGGGATCTGGCCCTGGTCTCTCTCTGCCCCTCACTTACTCCACGCTGGCCTCGTGGCTGCTTCTTGAGCTCCCCAGGCACACCTCCCCATGGCTGCTTTCTCTCTCTCTCGAACGTTCTTCCTCCATCCACTTGGCTCTCTCCCTCTCCTGTGTGTGTGTGTGCGTGTGTGTGTGCGTGTGTGTGTAATTGATTTCAGAGAGGAAGGGAGAGGAAGAGAGAAATAGAAACCTCAATGATAAAAGTCATTAATCAGCTGCCTCCTGCACACCCCACACTGGGGATCGAGCCTGAAATTCAGGCATGTGCCCTGACCAGTAATCAAACCGTGACCTCCTGGTTCATAAGTCGACTCTCAACCACTGAGCCACACCGGCCGGTCCCTTCCCTCCTTTAAGTCTGTGATCCAAGTCCCCTTCTCAAGGAGCCTGACTGCTCATTTTACAATTACAACCTCCACTTCCCTGCCAGTCCCCTTATTATTGGCCTCTGCACAGCACTTAGGGCTTTTGGGGGGCTACTGTTTGCTGACTGTCCCTGCCTCCCCCTCCCTCTGCTCCTGGTACAATATAAGTTCCAGGAAAACAAGTAATTTTATCCACTCGCGTACCCATCTATGTAACTGCTCAATAAACATCTGTTGAATGCATGCACGCATGAATGAATGAAGGCTTGAAACAGGCCAAGTACATCTGCAGACCCTTCTGGGGCCAGGACCCCCATTTGCAACCTGTGATCCAGATGTGCAGTCAGTAGGTGCTGCAGATGTTTGGCTAAAATCTTTGACCGCTGCCCTCTCCACCCAACCGTCCCTGTTATCTGCTGCTGCACGTTGTCTGACTTTGCGCAAGCTTCGTGGGCTGGAAGGCAGATGCCATCAGATATAGTCAGATGTAGCCTGACTCTGCGGGCTTCTGATGGTCAGAGGTCACAGCCTGCACCTGTCGTGGTGCCCCAAGAGCCAGCATCAGTGAGCGAGCAGTTCCAGGGCTGCCGATGGGGGGTTTAGGGGGTCCCAGTCTGACTTAAATAGAGTCACGAGTCTGAGGAGCTCTTTTCTCTGCAGGGGGGCGCATTCGGCCGGGGCACAGACCTCAGGGGTGGCTGTGATGCCGAACTCGTCATCTTCCTCAACTGCTTCGAGGACTACAAGGACCAGGGGCCCCGGCGGGCGGAGATCCTCGCTGATATGCGGGACCAGCTGGAATCCTGGTGGCGGGATCCGGTCCCCGGCCTGACCCTGAACTTTCCAGAGCAGACCATGACCGAGGCATTGCGGTTCCAGCTGGTGTCCCCGGCCCTAGCAAGCTGGACGGACGTGAGCCTGCTGCCGGTCTTTGATGCCGTGGGTGAGGGGTGCCCGGCCTGTGCCTTGGGGGGATCAGGGAACATCGCACGGGTGCTTGCAATCCTCTCTGTGACTCATCCCCCTACTTCACCCAGCATTGGCTCTACTCTGCGGTCCCTACAGTCATGGTCACCATCAACTCGTAACTATTTAGTGCTTTTAACTTTACAGACATTTTCAGTATAAACTATTTCAAACACACAGAGAACTATAGACATCATATGACCGTGTACTCCAATTCGATTTCACAAGTGTTAACAGTTAGTTCTCCATGTCTGCTTGGGATTTTTTTTTTTTAAGAAATTACATGTTATAAAATTCCTTTCTTTTTTTTTTTTTTGGTTAATCCTCACTTGAGGGTATTTTTTCCATTGATTTTTAGAGAGAATGGGAGGAAGGGGTTGGGAGAGGGGAGAGAAAGAGAAACATCAATGTGAGAGAGACACATCGATTGATTGCCTTTCGCAAGCGCCAGGGCAGGTGATCAGACCTGCAGCCCCAGGATGTGCCCTGGCCTGGGAATCGAATCCACCACCGGGAATTGCACTGTGACCTCCTGGTTCATAGGTCGCTGCTCAACCACTGAGCAACACCAGGCTCTTTTTCTATTTTTAATTGTAGTCAGAAAATATACCCCCAAAATATCAATTCTTTGGAATTTGTTAGCACTTCCTAAGTTTCCCATGACGGAACAGAATGCATGCTTCCCGTTGGTGAATGCGGGCTTCTGTCCAGACCCTTTAGAGTTAGCTTATGATCTGTGTTCAGATCTGTGTTACTTATTTTTTCCTTATTTTGTCTATCAGTTCATGAATGGGCTCCCAGAATCTCCTGCTCTGAGTAGAGATTTGTCAGTTTCTCCTTGTAATTCTGGAAAGTTTTGATTTTAATATTTTGAGGCTATGTTATTAAGGAACATGTAAGAATATAATTATATTTTATTGGATTGTTCCTTTTGTCATCAAGTAGTAATCCTCCTTATTTCTAAAAAATATATATATATTTGCCTTAAAGCCTTTGATCTGACATTAATAGAGCTGCACTGGTCTTGGCAGTGTTTTCCTGAAAATGCCTTTTTCCATTTTTGATTTGTAAGGATATGCTATTAGATTTTAATTGTACCTTTTATAAGTAACGTAAAACTAGAAGACAAAAAAGGAGCAAACATTAATAATATGATCATTTTGAGGGGGTTGGTAATAGATTAGAACAAACATACGAGACACTAACAATAAGAAAGATTATTTTCTTTGCTTTTGTTTTTATACCTGTGTAAATTAAAACCTCCGCGCATAATTAGAAATATTTTCCCCCTCACTCATGCTTCTTAATTTCCAGTTCTTCCTCTGGATTCATTTCCTTCTTACAGAAATGCATCCTGTAGTTCTTTCTCAGAAGGGGTTTAAAAGTGATACATTTTCACAGACTTGGTCTAGAAAACCTTCTGTCTCACCTCCCTCTTGGAGGAAATGTTGGACATTTGTTTTTCTCAGTTTCTACTGTCTTCTGACCTGGATAGTTGTTGATGAGAAGACGGCTGTTTACTTCTTTGTTGGTGTGTGTGTGTGTGTGTGTGTGTGTGTGTGTGTGTGTGTTTCCTTTTTTGGTAGCTTTTACGACTTTTCTTAGTCCGTAGAATCCTTCAGTTTCTGATGTTTGCATATTGATTTCTTGTCAATCATACTCTTTGGAATTTGTTGTGCTGACTGAATCTGAGGACTCGGTTCTTCCTTTAGTTTGGGGAAAATGCCTCCCAGTAGCCCTTCAAACATCGCTTCTCCTCTGTCTTCTCCGTTCTCTACTTCGGGAACTCTATTCAATGGTGTCTCGCTTCACCCTCCACGTCTCATCGCTCCCATGTTCCCATCTCTCGGGGCTGCCTGCTGCTCCGTCGCTCAGATATATCCTCCAGCAACTTTCTTCAGATGTGCCTGACCTGCTGCCTCAGCTTACTTAAAAGTCCCAGGGCCTTTGTCTTTCACTTCTGTAAGTTCTAGGAGTTCTGCTTGTTATTCTGTGCTCTAGAGTGTGTGTCGTTGACCGCAATGTTATATATTTAATGTTCACATATTAGAGGCAGGTGAGCGGCTGGGTTGGGAAATGCCGCTGTCTTCCATGAGCAATGCATCCCCAGCATCTTTCAAACGCCCACAGGGCAGCTCAGTGCCGGCACCAAACCGGACCCCCAGATCTACCGGACTCTCCTGGACAGCGGCTGCCAGGACGGGGAGCACAGGGCCTGCTTCGCCGAGCTGCGGAGGAACTTCGTGAACTCCCGCCCAGCCAAGCTGAAGAACCTGATCCTGCTGGTGAAGCACTGGTACCGCCAGGTGAGGCCTCTCTACCCCCTTGCTCCTCCCAGAAAACTGCCGCTGTCATGGCAACTGCCTCTAACAGTCAGCTCATCCCCAACACAACGCCCCTCCTTTGAGTTTTATTGGCCATTCCAACCAGAAGGACTGCCTCCTCCACCTTCATTCCCTGGTACCCCCCCCGCCCCCCGCCCCCCCGGCTGAGAGAGCATCTTCTCCATCACGTCCCCAAATCCTCGTGTACCTTGTGATTGGCGTTCCCCGCCCTCTCTAGCCTTCTCTCCTCACACTGCTGATGCTTCCCCTGCTGTTTCTCACCTCCAAGCCTTTGCTTATGTTGTTCCTCCATCACCATCTCCTTTGCAAGCTCTGCTAGCTCCTGAGCATCCTTCAGAGCCCCCGCAGCAAATACCCTCTGAATGCCAGCTCACTTATTCAACCAACATCTGCTGACCACCCACTGCTGCTAACTGGTTATGGGTGTTGAAATGCCAAGATGACTGTGTCGCCGACCCCACTCCCGTTAGAAAGACGCTAGGCACAGACCAAGTCTGAGCTTCTCTGCGACCTTGGACAGGTCACTGCCCCGCTCTGGACCTCAGTTCATTCACCTGTAAAATGAGAAGCGTGCGCCAGGCCAGCCCCAAGGTTCTATTCTTTCTGTTGTGTTTTGTGTTTTCTACATTCCCTGCCTTCTCCAAGGAGGGCCATGCTCAGCGGACAGTAAGTGCTCACTCCGCTGACTCTTTGATTTGGGGGGAACGTAGGTTGCTGCCAGGAACAAAGGAGAGCAGCCAGCCCGTGCCTCCCTGCCCCCAGCCTACGCCCTGGAGCTGCTGACCATCTTCGCCTGGGAGCAGGGCTGCGGGAAGGACCGCTTCAACACGGCCGAAGGCCTGAGGACCGTCCTGGGGCTTGTCCAGCAGCACCAGCAGCTCTGTGTCTTCTGGACGGTCAACTACAGCTCTGAGGACCCAGCTCTCAGAACGCACCTCCTCGGCCAGCTTCGGAAACCCAGGTGCACACCCACTACCTCCTCTCCCGCCCTATCCTCCTTCCCCCCACTGTCACCTGGAGTCACTGCATCCAGGAGGGGTCCAGGGTGGGGTTTGGGGGGCCCAGCCCCATCCTCGCTCTGCATCCTTCTGGACTCTTTGCTGAGGAAGCAATGGACACCTGACCCCCAGAGGAAGCCAGGACCACTTATATTAATACAAGACAATCCCCATCTCAGATTAAGGGGTCACCCAATAGCTTCCGGACCAAGGTGGCCAGGCAGGGACCCTGCCGTGCGTGGGCAAGATTGCACCAACCCTAAGGTGCTGACAGTCTTCTCGCTCTCCCGCCCCCACACCTCTTCCCGAGGTCTCCCACCCCCTGCTCCTTCACGGATTCTCACCCGCCTGCCCACCCACTCTGCCCCAGACCCCTGATCCTGGACCCGGCCGACCCCACCTGGAACGTGGGCCTGGGCAGCTGGGAGCTGTTGGCCCAGGAAGCGGCCGCCCTGGAGACGCAGGCCTGCTTCATGAGCGCAGACGGGACACCCGTGCAGCCCTGGGATGTGATGGTAAGAGGTGGGCCCCGGAGGGGGAAGACGCTGCTGGTGCCCGTCCCAGGGTCCCAGGTCCCCCTTCCCTGCCGGTGCCACATCCCCAGCTGCTAGGAGTGTTGGGAGCTGATGGCTTACAGCCAAGGCACCAGCCCTTCCATCCCAGCGAGTGCTTGAGTGACATGCGCATAAAAGGCCCGCCCAGTTGCAAGGCAGGACCAACTCTGTGATACAATTGCTGCTCCAGAGCCCGCTCTGGCTTTGGTGGGGGGCGGGGGAGCTTTCTCCAGCTGAGCCTCCCCCACCAGCTCCTGCTCCCCTCGCTCCCCTTCTGCAAGCCCTGTCCCGGATAATCACATGCACAGAAATCCCCGCCTCAGCTCTGCTTCTGGGGAACCCCACCCACCACAATAGCCACGAGCAGCTCCCCAAAGAATAGAATTCCATCGCATTTGCTATTTTGCAGAATCTCATAACCAGTGCTTCACAATCAAGGCAATCCATGAGGCGTGGGCCTCGTTCTTGCCCCCATTTAAAGATGGGGAAGCCTGGCCAGTGTGGTTCAGTGGTTGAGCGTCGACCTATGAACCAGGAGGTCACGGTTCGATTCCCGGTCAGGGCACATGCCCGGGTTGTGGGCTTGATCCCCAGTGTGGGGTGTGCAGGAGGCAGCTGATCAATGATTCTCTCTCATCCTTGATGTTTCTTTCTCTCTCTCCCTTCCTCTCTGAAATCAACAAAAAAATATTTTTAAAAAAGATGGAGAAACTGAGGCTTTGTGATGGTGGTAGAACCAGAACTTGAGCTCTGGTCCCTCCAATGCTGCGATCTGACAGCCAGTTGAGAAGAAAAAGAGCCATAAGAGATCGTGGGAGTCTCGTTCTCACGGGAAGCCAAGGGGTGGGGCCTGGGCATTCGCAGGCAGTCCTTCTCCACCTGGTCCCACCTGTGTCCTCTGCAGCCCACGCTCCTGTACCAGACCCCAGCCAGGGACCTCGACAAGTTCATCAGTGACTTCCTCCAGCCCAACCGCCAGTTCCTGGCTCAGGTGAACAAGGCGGTTGACACCATCTGCTCCTTCCTGAGGGAAAACTGCTTCCAGAACTCTCCCATCAAAGTGCTCAAGGTGGTCAAGGTGAGCTCCAGAGAGCTGTGGGCCCAGGGCTGCAGGCCGGTGATCTCATGTCGGCCCAGACCAGGCCTGACCCACTCCGTGGGCTCTGCAGCAGCCAGCACAAGGCCAGACATAGAAGAGAAAGTGGAACAAGGTCACGGGTAGATGGCCCAGGGAGGGCCCATATAGGCCCAAGAGATTCCTTTGGGTTGCTCATGGCAGCCAACTCCAGAGAAGCAACAAAGGAATGTGTTGGCTGATGGGAATGGACGGCCTGGAATAGGCTGCCTTCAGGCACAGCTGGATCCAGGAGCCCATGCTGGATCGTCAGGGCTCGGCTTTTCTTCCTAGCTTTGGGCTCTGCCTGCTTGTGCTTGGATGGGGCCTGTCCATGGGATGGTCCTTGGCGTCTCTTCTAAAAAGGGGAATTCTCTTTTCTCAAAAGTCAAAGAAGTCTGGGAATTGAGTTTCATTGGCCTTGCGATGTGTCCCTTAACCAGTCACTAGGGCTGGGGAGGCACCGTGTGCTGGCTGGCCACGCCTGGGTCACATGGTAGAGTCAGCCCTCCTGGGTGGAGAGTGGAAGAGCAGTGATTCCCCCGAAGAAAGCCCAGTGCTGATCCCAGCAGGAGGAAAGGGTGCTGGGGGTTGACAAAGAGTCACAGGATCTGCTGTATCAGATATGACCTCGGTTCACAATTGGAGTCACCGGGAGACACAGGTCAACTCTGGAAAGAGTGTCAGGCAAATACCTCCCCCTCCCTGTTCCCTGCTTCCTCCTCCATAGCACCTGAGGACAGCAGCCCGACTCACTGAGACATTAGGTGACCTGCCCAAGGTCACACAGCAAGTTCCTAACTCAGAGTCCAGAGCCCATCGGCTCGGGCAGGAGGCCATGAAGCAGGACTTGAGGGCTCCAGCCACCTGCCATGTCCTCCCCAGCGCGGCTCTTCCGCGAAGGGAACAGCGCTGCGAGGCCGCTCCGATGCCGACCTGGTGGTGTTCCTCAGCTGCTTCCGCCAGTTCGCCGAGCAAGGGAGCACGCGGGCCGAGGTCATCTCAGAGATCCGAGCCCAGCTGGAGGCGTGTAAGCGGGCGCGGCAGTTCGAGGTGAAGTTCGACATCCCCAAGTGGGAGAATCCCCGCGTGCTGAGCTTCTCGCTGACGTCCCAGACGATGCTGGACCAGAGCGTGGACTGCGATGTGCTGCCGGCCTTTGATGCCCTCGGTGAGGTGCCGGGCATTGTCCCGAGAGGGGAAAGGCGGAGGCGGCGCCGCCAGGGACGGTGGCAGAGGCTGGGCGCCTGCTCAGTCGTAGGCATTGTCGGTGCATATGTTTATCACCACTTCCCTGCAAAGGGTCTGGAGAAAATGACCCTGAGCTGGCTTCTCGTTCCATCAGATCCACCAGCATCTGGGTGACCTTGACGGGGGACTCCTCTACCTTGAGCCCCAGTGTCTCAGTGCATCCCCAGCTTCGAATATGTGTGTGCCACCTCCCCCGCCTGCCACAGACCCATTCAATCGGTCCAGTCCATAAGTGCACCTACTACGTGCCCAGCACACTTCCAGGCACAGAGCGGGGGAAATCCCCGAACAAAACAGATGCAAATCTTATTGTATCTATTCAGTTCAGAGTCTGGATAGCAGAGTTTGCAGAGTGAGACAATCCCCCCCCCCCCCCCCCCCCCCTCTTCCTCCCCCCCCCCCCCGCCCCCATATCTCAGTGTATCCGGTGCCTGCATTTTGCAAAACAAGTAGCAAGGGAGAGATTGGTCCAGAGATGTCTCTGAATCTGTCCAGTTCCTTAGTTCAGAGAGCGAGAGCTGGGATACCAGGGAACGCCTTCAAGTGCCCTGGGACCGGGGTGACACCAGCTCTCGCCTACACTTCTGTCACCTGCAGGGGCATCTCCCTTGTTAGAGTCAGAGAGTCGGTGAGGAGAGGTTAGCCCTGAGCGGAGCCTCCCTTCACGGTGGGTAAGCAGGTGGGGTGTGAGGGGCAGAAAAGGGAGTCCGATTCTCACCAGGGGTTCAGCTCTGGGTCACGCCGCATCTGTGTTCCCCCTCAATGAGGTGAGGGTCACCTTCTCCCCGTCTCCAGGCCAGCTGGCCCCTGGCTCCAGGCCCCCGCCTCAAGTCTACGTGGACCTCATCTGCAGCTACAACACCCCGGGCGAGTACTCCTCCTGCTTCACAGAGCTGCAGCGGGACTTCGTCATCGCTCGCCCCACCAAGCTCAAGAGTCTGATCCGACTGGTGAAGCACTGGTACCGGCAGGTTCGGCACAGGGACGCGCCCCCTCCCCTCCCCGTCCCACCCCCTCCCGGTGGCCCTGGGCTCTGCCTCTGGAGCTCTCTCCTGGGAGGAGGCAGGCCCAGCCCTGGCCGGAACCCTGGGTCGGTGGAGGTTTTTCCTAGCGGCGGGGCCTCAGTTTTCTTACCTGTACAATGGGGCTGGCATTCCTATATCACAGGAGTTGATGGAACAGTGCAAGGCAAGGCATCTGGCATAGCAGGGGCTCTGTAAATGTTTGGGGAGGGTTTGACGGCTCCTCTTCACTGCTGTATGGACTGATACATCATCTTTCTCCTCATTTCTTAGTGCAAGAAGATGCCCAAGGGGAAGGGCTCTCTGCCCCCCCAGCACGGGCTGGAACTCCTGACGGTGTATGCCTGGGAGCAGGGGGGGCAGGACCCCCAGTTCAGCATGGCCGAGGGCTTTCGCACTGTCCTGGAGCTGGTCACCCAGTACCGCCAGCTCTGCGTCTACTGGACCGTCAACTACAGCCGTGAGGACCAGACCGTCAGAGATTTCCTGGAGCAGCAGCTTCGCAAGCCCAGGTTTGGACCCACCCCCACATCCCAGAGTCCGGGACCCAAGGCCACTTTTCTCCCTGCCTCCTGAGGGCACAGAGCAGAGGCAGGAACCCACTTTCTAGGACTGAGCTCCTTTCCAGCCCTCCACGTGGGGAGACTCAGGGCTGTGGGTGAGATGCCAGACCCCACGTTAAATTTGAATTTCGGATAAACAATGAAGAACTTTTTAGTGTAAGAATAGCCCATGTAGTCATTGGGATATACTTATGCTTAAGAAAACCAACACCCTTGCCTAGCAGAAAGGCTCAGTGGTTGAGCATTGACCTGTGAACCCAGAGGTCATGGTTCGATTCCCAGTTAGGGCACCTGCCCGGGTTGCGGGCTCGATCCCCAGTGTGGGGGGTGCGGCAGGCAGCCGATCGATGATTCTCTCTCATCATTGATGTTTTGATTTCTCTCTCTCTCTCTCCCTCTCCCTTCCTCTCTGAAATTAATAAAAACATATTTAAAATTTTTATAAAACAAACAAAAAGTACACCTGTATTCATTGTTTATCTGGAGCTCAAATTTAACTGGGCATCTTCTATATGTGTTTGCTAAATCTGGCCACCCTGCCTGCGAACCCCCAGGTAACATAAGCTGCCCCATCCTGTGGGGTTTTGCCCGCCTCTGAAATGCTACAGAGATAACAAAGACGCTTTCACAACTTGGTGATGTATTTCCCGTCAGTGGGTAATGGCTACATAGAGTGATGTGTTGATAAAGATCCTGAGGTTGTGAATGAGCTCCGCTGAGAAGGGTGATCTCCTCAGTTAGTGGCCATGGATGGGGAGAGTGATGGAACCAGTGCTGTGGTTGAGTAACAATGCCTGCTTTCCATGCAGGTGGGGCACGCATGGCCTGAGCTCTGAGATTGATTAGTAATGTCTGTCCTGGATACAGAAGGCAGAAGGGGCTCGTGTGTAGCTTCTTCTCCAATCTGCCCTCAAGTGTGTGCCTGGAGCCCAGAGGAGTCTCTGGGCCCTGCCCCTGCCCCCTGCAAAGTGTTGGGTGAGGGGGAGAACAGTTCAAGCAATCCCGCAAGTAGATACCCAGATGCTGCCAGGAAGAGGACTGACCTTGGGTGGGAATTGCAGGCCCATCATCCTGGATCCGGCAGACCCGACAGGCAACCTGGGCCCCAATGCCCGCTGGGACCTGCTGGCCAAGGAAGCTCAGGCCTGCATATCTTCCCTGTGCTGCATCGGCAGAGATGGCACCCCCATCCAGCCGTGGCCAGTGAGGGTGAGAGACCTGGGGGACAGCAGGGAGCATCTTTGTTGGGGGGCAGTGTGGTTGGGGGAGGGGCATGATTTCTCCCAAAGGGGCAGGGCCCAGTCATGGCCCAGAGGTGCCCCCGCGCCTCCATGTCCTGTCTGTTCCCATTGTCTCTAGGAAGGTTAGAGGTAACAACATATTCTGTCATCTTTCCCAGGCCGCTGTGTGAAGCCCGGAAAATCAGTGGTCCTGCCAGATGGACAGATGGACACCAGTCCTCCACGTGGGGAGACTCAGGGTCACATGCCAGATGTGTGTGTGTGTGTGCGCGCGCACGTATTGTCAGAGAGAGAGAGAGAGAGAGAGAGAGAGAGAGAGAGAGAGATTCAGTCCAGCCTCCCAACGGACATCCTTGCCTCCCACTCAGCTCTCTTCCCCGCAGCCCACTCTGCTCACCCAGCCCATTGAATCCCCCCCTTGTATCCAACGGGCACTGCACTCAAACACTGCCCTGCCTCCCGCGGCCTACACGCTGGAGTCCAGCCTGCGTGGGTGGGCGCCTTCCTGGGTTTCCAGCTTCCTCATCACCCTCGTGACCCTCTGGTCTCAGCTGCATCTGCCCCTGCCGAGAATGTCCTCCTCCCCCTCCCCGACTTCTCTCTCCCCATCCACACCAGCTCGCACCCTTCCTCCTGACACTCACCTCTGACCTCCCAGCGGCTGCTCCTCCTTCCCTAATCTAAGAACTTTTCACAGGGATGGTAGAGTTTTCATCTCATTTGTCGGCCACACTCAGTTGGTTGTGGCTGTCCGGAGCCCTACGTGTTAAAGGATTTTGAAGAATGGATGCCTAGCCGCGAGGAGTGGCCTAATCAATTAGTGATGTCTGCCATGGATGCACTAGAGAAAAGTAGTGGCACGAGTGCCGTGATGGATTAGCAACGCCTGGCCTGCGTACAGGAAGAAGTGCTCAGAGACCTACAGTCTGTACGCGTCTGGGCTATTGAGAAGCTTTCTGAGCTCAGCTGCTAGAAAGACAGCATGCCGGGATCGGCTGCTTATGTCTGCCACAGACACAGACAGAGGGAGTGGGACATGCATGCCATGCGGTCCCTGTCCTTGCACACTTCACCGGATGCCTTTTCACTGGAGGCCTCCTTTTGGTCCCGTTTCGCTCCTCCCCCCAGTTTGCCATACTTCCTTTCTGGTTTTTTACCAAGTTCCTGTCTTTTTTCTGCCCTGCTACAATGCCACCGGTGGGATCCTCCATGCCCAGGGCCTACATGTGAGCCAGTGCCCTAGCGACAGTGCCAGCCTGCCTCTGCCTCCAGAGCAAACCCACCCGGCGCGTGCAGGGGGCACTCCTGACCTCCAGTGCAGACACACTGTCCCCCTCAGTCCAGGACCAGCACGGAAAACAGAAAGCACTCCGGAATCGGAAGTGGAAAGGAATTCCGTCCAACCCTGGACCGGCGGAAGGAGGCTGGGGCCACCTGGGTGCTAGTTTCGTTATTGGACCACCGCGACTGGATCAGAGGAAGCTGCTGCTGCTCTGCCCACCGCCTCTCCCACAAAGCTGGGGTCCAGACCAGGGACGTGGACTCCCACAGCCACACACATCCCCCAGGACTGGGCCACCAGGGCTGCAGGGGGTGCTTCTGTGTCTCCTTTAAAATAAACAAAATTACAGCCAGGATCTGGCTACAGGGGGTCTGAGAAGTGAGCATCTGGCCTCCCACCCCGGGTAGCACGGGGAGGAGTGGAGGCCCAGGGCCGGGGCCAGCGTCCGGGACCGCATTCCCAGCACAGGCACCGTGAATGTCTATTGAGTGGGTGAGGGTGTGGTCCCTCCCAGAGGGGCGGCCCGGTTCTTAGGGGACACAGATGGAAGGATTTAAGCACAGGCACCGTGAATGTCTATTGAGTGGGTGAGGGCGTGGTCCCTCCCAGAGGGGCGGCCCGGGAGGCGGAGAGGAAGCAGCCCCGTTCTTAGGGGACACAGATGGAAGGATTTCAGAGGGAAGGGTCTGGGTGATTATGATGTGTCCACATAGAGTCATCGGTTGTAACAAATGCCCCACCTTGGTCGGGAGGCTGTGCATGTGTGGGGGCAGGGAGTACATAGGACATCACTGGGCCTTCTGCCCAATTTTGCTATGAACCTAAATCTGCTCAAAAAACCAAAGATTTTAAACAAAAAAGAGCAAAGGGGCATAATATCTGCAACATGCTCTCAGATGGCTCCGTAATGAGACTGCTGATACGATGTGCATACAGAATAAGGGCAAATGTGAACTATTCCGGGTGAGGGTCTCAGATGGCTCCGTAATGAGACTGCTGATACGATGTCTCATTCTGCATACAGAATAAGGGCAAATGTGAACTATTCCAGGTGAGGATAGAAGAGGGAGTTCTTTGTACTCACCTCACACATTTTCTCAGTATTTCAAATTATTTCAGAATCAAATCTTTAAAAAATAAAAAAAAAGCATGGACTTTGGAATCGGGTAGAGTGGGGTTAGAGCCCAGCCAGACAATGTACTAGCTGTGTGACCTTGGGCAAGTGTTTCCACCTCTCTGAGCCTCCACATTTTTACCTAAAAAGGGAGCCTTATGACCCCTGCCCAGCTGATCTCTAAGTGTTACAGTGAAAGTCAGACAAGGGCAAGGAAGGACCTTGAATGGACAGGTGTAATAGTCAAAGTTCTACGAGAAAAAAAAAAGAACCAATAGGATAGACAGAGGTAGATCTAGAGATTTCTTTTAAGGAACTGGCTCGTGATGTTGTGGAAGTTGGCAAGTCCAAATTCTGCAAGGCAGGCTGGCAGGAGGGCGGCCCAGGGAGGAGCTGAGGCAGCTCCAGGCTGAAGGCATCTGCTGGTGGGATCCCCCACTTCCTCAAGGGAAGTCAGCCTTTTTTACATACAGGCCCTCAACTGATTAGACAAGACCCACCCACATGCTAGAGTGTAGTCGCTTTATTCGAAGTCCACTGGTCTAAATGTCAGTCTCGTCTTTAAAGTACCTTCCCAGAAAGATCTAGAATAATGTTTGACCAAATATTTGGGTACCTTGGCCCAGCCAAGTCGACATATGAACTTAATCCTCATGGCAGAGAGGGACTGCCATGGGGGTGAAGAACCCACACCTTGGGGGTGTTTGCTTCTGAGGCAGCCCTCGAGGCCTCTGGGAGTTTCGTTTTCATAGCTCCGGGCGGGAGTTGCACATCTGTCTCCCCTCCGACCCGTGTGCTTCTCTGAGCTTGTTTCCGTCCTTGCTGGGTGAGGGAAGTGGCTGATGAGGCCGTGCAGGTTTCCACGGATGCTGCGGAACTGGGCCCACGGACGCTCCCACCCACCGAGCACGCTGAGCCCAGCTCAGCCCTCGTCTCGCTGTGTGTCCCCGAGCAAGTCCGTCACCTCTCTGAGTCTCTCTCCTTGCCGCTCTCACGGAGTCTGACTTCTCAGGTCCCTGGGAACAGGAAGAAGGAGAAAGGGGCTTCAAGGAAGAACTCTGCCACTAAAAAATTTTATTTGCTTAGCAAACACTTCTATAGCAGTAGCGACCTGCCCGGCCCTGTGCTAAGCGCTTGGCAGGTACTATTTTATTCCTGCATTCGCCCAATAAGAGAGACGCCACTGCTGTCCCCATTTTACAAAGGGGGAAGTCGAGGCTCAAAGAGGCAGGCGGCGTGCTCAAGGGCGCAGGTCTAGCGCGCATCCAGCTCCAGCAGCTGCGCGTTTCTCCATGAGGACACCTCCCCGGGAGCAGCTGAGAGGCAGGTTGAGCTGAGGGGCGGGCAGAGCTCTGGATTGAGGAAGTCAGCTGAGAACGCTGGTCAGTTTCGGTTTCCTGGCTCTTCCCAGCTTCCAAGCTCTCAGCCCAGAGATCCTCTTCCTCCTCTGCCTCCTGCTCTGCCGTGAGCTGTCGCCCTGGCAGGCAGCCGGCAGCAGCAATGGGCAACTGGCTATCCAGCAGCTGCCCAGAAACGGTGTACTTGGTACCGGCTCAGAAACTGGATGAGTATATCCAGACCTCACTGAGGCCGACTGAAGACTGTCAGAGACAGATCGATGAGGCTGTGGACACCATCTGTGCCGCCCTGCAGGAAGCCACGGAGCCTCCCATGGTGATAGATGTCGCCAAAGTGAGTGGAGGGCCGGGGTCGGGGCTCCTGGTTATCGGAAGTCAGAGTGACTTGGTGCTGAGCACCTACTGTGTGCCAGGCCCTGGGGGCACCATACATCATCCTGTCCGCCCCACCCTCAGAGAGAGGATGGGAGATAGTTTAGAGTTTAGGAGCACAGACTCTGAAGTCCGCTCTGCCCCTTATTACTGTGTGACCCGGGGTAGGTTGCTTAACCTCTCTGTGCTTCAGTCTCCGAATCTATGAAATGGGAGAGGAACAATACCCATCTGAAAGTGTTGTGAGGCTTGAGCATATAACGTTCTTAGTACAAGGGCTGGTACATGGTTCGTGTTCAGTAAATTAGCTGTGATTACTCCCTGCTATTGTTCTATCCTTCTTATTTACAGAGCAGTAAACTGAGGCTAAAGGACTTCGGTGAAACTACCCAAAAGTTGCACGGTGGTGGCATTTCCAGCAAGTGGGGGCTGGGAGCTCTCGTCAGTTAGAAATGGTTGGTGCTATGGGCACAAACCCCAGGGCTGAGGCTAAAGATCCTGGGCCTTCGGGGAGGAAAGGGTGCTGGGAAGGTGCCAGGACCCTAGGGCAGGGAGCGGGTTGGAGAGCCCCACTTCCACCGCCATGCTCTCCGGCGCTGGAGACTCGCTTCTCTGCAGCCGCGTGCTACCTCGCCTCTGCCGTCACACACACCTACTAGCCCCAGCAGGAAGTGTCTCCTGCCTTGGCCCAGAGGAGGAAACTGAGGCACAGGGAAGTTATTTAATAGCACCATCCTGCCTCTCAGTATTAATTAACTTATTCTAATTAAAATAAACATATAAAAAGATAAACGCACAGAGCTAAGTATGCAGCCTGTTTGGATTGCCACGAACAACGGAGATGTGTAAGCTACACCCAGCTCAAGAAGCAAAACATTCCCAGCCCTGCCCTGGCCGGCTTGGCTGAGCGGATAGAGCGCCAGCCTGCAGATTGAAGGGTCCTGGGTTCGATTCCGGCCAGGGGCACATGCCTGGGTTGTGGGCTTGGTCCCCAGTGGGGGGAGTGCCGGAGGCAGCCGATCAATGATTCTCTCTCATCATTGATGTTTCTCTCTCTCCTTCTCCCTTCCTCTCTGAAATCGATAAAGAAATATATTTTTAAAATAAATAAACATTCCCAGCCCCCGAGGGCCCCTGCACTCCCTGTCCTGTCAGCGCCCTCACCCAGGGCAGCGCCCTCCTGCCTCCTGACGGCAGAGATCATGCTGCCGGTTTTTAACTTCGTCTACATGTAAGGGGGCCACGCATCCCAGTTTGCCTGGGGCCGAGGGGTTTTCTGGGACATGGGTCTTTCGACGCTAACACTGGGTACACGGGACCCGTTGGTCACCCTGGATAAATGAGTCCACGCCCTGTGTGGCTTTCGTGTCTGGTCTCTTTGACCCACCCTGTTCAGGAAATGTCTGTCGTGTGGGCAGGTGGTGTTTGTCATTTCACTGCTGTCCAGTATTCCACTGCGTGGATACACCGCATTTATCCACAGGAGTTTCCTCCAGGTTGGGGCTAGTATGAAGAGTATTGCTATGGGCACCCTGGTCTTTGGGGGGACCAATGGACGCCTGCCTCTCAACTTTAAGACTATGGTGACATTTGGGGCGCTTTCTCAAGTTAAGTAAGACTACTGCCTCCTGGGGAGTGCCGTGACCCCCAAAGGCTCCAGACTCTCACACCTGCTTCTCTGTTGCTGGCAGGGTGGCTCCTATGGCCGGAAAACGGTCTTAAAGGGCAACTCCGATGGTACCCTTGTCATCTTCATCAGTGACCTTGAAAAATTCCAGGACCAGAAGGAAAACCAACATGAAATCCTCGACAAAATCTGGGAGCGGCTGAGAGCTTGTCAGCTCGAAAGGAAGCTGACAGTCAAGATGGAGATGCAGAGGTCCTATGTTGACCTCACCATCCGGCTGTCCACACAATGGCAGAGCGTCACTTTTGACGTGCTGCCCGCCTTCGATGCTCTGGGTGAGCCCTCGGGGTATGTGGGGGTGGGGGTGGGTTGTGAGGGGTGTGTTGAGAGAGCAAAGTCCAAGAGAGGGATGGTGGATAGGTACCTTTGGTGCTTTCCGAAGTGGAGGCCTTCAAGAGAGGAAGTCCCTCCTACCCTGGCTTTCTCTCTTCTCTAGGACTTCTCCCCATCTCCTCATTGGCTTTTTGTTGTTGTTGTTGTTAGTCCTCACCCGAGGATATTTTTCCATTGATTTTTAGGGAGAGTGGAAGGGAGTGGGGAGAGACAGAGAGAAACTTCGTTGTGAGAGAAACACATTGATTGGTTGCGTCCTGCACGAGCCCTGACCAGGGCCTGGGCTGGGGAGGAGCCTGCAACCAAGGTACATGCCCTTGACCGGAATCAAACCCAGGACCCTTTGGTCTGCAGACCGACGCTCTATCCACTGAGCAAAACCAGTTGGGGCTCCTCATTGACTTTTTTTTTAAATTTATTTATTGACTAAAGTTTTACATATGTCTCCTTTTTCTTCACTTGACGACCCCCCCCCAAGCCATTCCCACCCCGGGCCAGCCCCCATCGCCCCAGTGTCTGTGTCCATTGATTATGCTAATATGCATGCATACAGGTCCTTTGGTTGCTCTCTAATCCCCCCTTCCCTGCCATTTGTCTCTGGATCTATTCTTGTTCATCAAATTATGTTGATCATTATATCCCACATATGAGTGAGATCATGTGATATTTATCTTTCTCCGACTGGCTTATTTCACTTAGCACAATGCTCTCCAGTTCCATCCATGCTGTTGCAAGCGGTAGGAGTTCCTCCTTTTTTATAGCAGCGTAGTATTCCATTGTGTAGATGTACCACAGTTGTTTAATCCACTCACCTGCCTCATTCACACAGGAGGCTCCTGAGCCTGTGTTCATATTAGCTGTGCAGCAGGATTCTGATTGGCACCCCAGTCTGAGAGCCACTGCCCTGCATCACCCTACCTCCCAGGCTCAGTGCTGCGGGGAGTGCACCTGCCACCCGGCAGCCATCCCAGCCTCCGGGGCTCTGCCTGCACCTGCCTCCTCAAGGTGCCTGTACCCTTGACCCTGAACTGCAGCGCTCACTGATGGGCTCACTAGCGGGATATACTGTATGTGATATATAAACTTCATTTTCTTCCAGGTGTAGGCCAATACCATTTTTCAAAGAAACCATCTTTTCCCCACTCACTTGGAACGCCTTCTTTTTTCATTTACAATCGTTTCTCCTTTCCTCTGCTCTCGCTGGTCTTGTCGTCAGCCAGCGCCATAGCATTTGCATGATGGTCATTTTAGACTTCATTTGTCACCGAGCAGGGCCAGCCACCCCGCACCTTTTAAGCAGACAGACCTGCCCTCTGCCAGAGGAGGCAGTTTGCTACCAACCCACACCCAACCTTCCAAGTCCTTCTTCTCTTTCCTGCCAGACTTGAGCGGCAAGCCCAGCCCCTCGACCTATCGAGACCTCAAAAGAGCCTTGGACCAGGCAAAAGCCAGCCCCGGTGGATTCTCCGTCTGCTTCACAAAACTCCAGCAGAATTTTTTTAACAACCATCCCAGGAAGCTGAAGGATTTGACCCTCTTGGTAAAGGCCTGGCATCAACAGGTCAGTTTCATGTTGCATTACCTCTGGCTGTCGTCCATTTCCTTTGGGTCACAATAGCTTGCAATCCAGTAAAGGACAACAATCTTAGGTATACAGCTCGATGCGTTTTATATTGTTTTAAGCAAAACTCAGGGAGTGGCTTCAAGCCCACTCCCAGTGAACACTCCCCCAAACAGCCCACTAACCTAACAGCTGTCACCACAAATTCATTTTGCTTGCTTTTCAACTTGATATGAATGGAGTCTGACTGTATGTACATTGTGTCTGCTGTCTTCTTTTTTAAAAAATATATTTTTATTGATTTCAAAGAGGAAGGGAGAGGGAGAGAGAGAGGCACATCAATGATGAGAGAGAACCATGGACTGGCTGCCTCCTGCATGCCCCACACTGGGGATTGAGCCCGCAACCCAGGCATGTGCCCTGACCAGAATCAAACCCGGGACCCTCCAGTCTGCAGGCCGGCGCCCTATCCACTGAGCTACACCGGCCAGGGCAGTCTGCTGTCTTCTGTTCAACATTATGTCTGAGAGATTTGTCCATGTTGGTGCATGTGGTTGTCATTTTTTTCATTGTTTTGTAATATTCCATTGTATTACTATCCACACATTTACCCATTCCTCTGCTGATGGACATTTGGGCCATTTCCAAATTGGGGCTGTTATGAATTATGTGACTATGGGTATTCCCTGAATGTGTTTTTGTAAATTTCAGATTCCTCTTTAAAATATACATTTTCTTTTATCGATTTCAGAGAGGAAGGGAGAGGGAGCGAGAGATAGAAACATCAATAATAAGAGAGAATCATTGATCGGCTGCCTCCTGCATGCCCCCTACTGGGGATTGAGCCCGCAGCCCGGGCTTGTGCCCTGACCAGGAATTGAACTTCTTGGTTCATAGGTCAATGCTCAACCAGAGTCACACCGGCTGGGCAAGCACTCCTTTTTCTTGAGTAAATATGCAGGCATGGAACTGCTGGGTTATAAAGTATATGTATATGAAAACATATGTGTGTGCGCATACATATACACATGGCATACATGTATGCATGTGTGTGTGCACAATGAGGAATAGGTACATATTTAACTTTAGGGAATACTGCCAAATACAGATGGGCCTTGATTTACAATGGTTTGACTTAAGATTTATTTTTTTTTTAAATATATTTTATTGATTTTTTACAGAGAGGAAGGGAGAGAGAGATAGAGAGTTAGAAACATCGATGAGAGAGAAACATCGATCAGCTGCCTCCTGCACATCTCCCACTGGGGATGTGCCCGCAACCCAGGTACATGCCCTTGACCGGAATCGAACCCGGGACCTTTCAGTCCGCAGGCCGACGCTCTATCCACTGAGCCAAACCGGTTTCGGCTTAAGATTTATTTTTAAATATGTTTCTATTGATTTTAGAGAGAAAGGAAGGGAGAGAGAGAGAAACACCTATTGGATGCTTCCCGCACACACCCCGCCCAGTGACCGAGCCTGAAACCGGGGTCTGTGCCCTGACCGGAAATTGAACCGTGACCTCCTGATTCAAGGGGTCGACGTTCAACCACTGAGCCACACCGGCCGAGCTGGTTTCTTGATTTCAGAGCCCTGACATGGGAAGAACTGGGTCTCTAAGTTAGCTGCTGCCCCATTCTTCTCCCGCAGTGCCAGAAATGGTGGGAGCATCGATCCCTGCCACCCTCGTATGCTCTAGAGCTGCTCACCGTCTATGCCTGGGAAGAGGGGTGTAGAGAGGAAGACTTTGACATAGTTCAAGGCCTCAGAACTGTCCTAGAGCTCATCGAGAAGCAGGAGCAGCTGTGTGTCTATTGGACAGTCAACTACAACTTTGAGGATGAGACCGTCCGGAACGTCATGCTGAACCAGATCCGATCATCAAGGTACCAACTTCCGTGGCCCTCTCTTTCCCTCTCCATCTGCGTGCCAGACTGTGCCCCTTTAGAATGAGCACTCACCCCTGTCCCTTCCAGCCAGGGGTGTGCCACACAGATGCCAGCAGCACTGGGCAGGGAGGCGAGGAGAGGTCTGAGGGAGGAACCCTGACCCATGCTTTCTTTTACATTACAAACCATCATCACATTTTGTGCTCCAGACAAACCCTTGCGAGGTATTTCCCTTTACAGAAGGCAGAGGCTAAGAGAGAAGAAAGGTCCACAGGAAGAGGCCATCTTATTACATGACTAGAGGCCTGGTGCACAAATTCGTGCACAGGTGGGGTCCCTGGGCCTGATCGGAGTAGATCAGGACCAGCCCACCGGCTGGAGGAAGAGACTGCGGGAGGTTGCTGGTCATGGTAGATTGGCTGTGGTAGTGCACTGACCACCAGGCGGCAGCTCCTGCGTTGAGTGTCTGCCCCCTAGTGGTCAGTGCCTCGTCATACTGACCAGTTGACTGGTTGTAATGGTTGCTTTGGCTTTTATATATATAGATTAATGGAACGCCTCTCTCTGTCAACCAGAGAGCACAGGACCAGAGAGGCTGGACGCAAAGCGCCTCAGCAATTGAGAGAAACCACAGGAATTACCAGAAGCCCAGTCTAGGCCTCTCTCCCTAAAGCTGATTTCCCTTCCCACAAGCAGCCCAACTGATTTTTTTTTTTTTATAATCTAATGGAATTCATAGGCCAGTCATCTTGGATCCAACTGACCCCACCAATATGGTGAGCAAAGATGAGACGTGCTGGCGACTGCTAAAAATAGAAGCTCAAAACTGGTTATTTTCTCTCAGCCTGAGAGAGTCACCTGGACCATCTTGGAATGTTCTGGTGAGAGGGCGTTCCAAATATAGCTCCTGTCATGCGTCAGGGAGGGCCCTCCTCCTCCCGACACCCGGCTGCAGTCTTCCTCGAGATCACCGTGTGTCGGGCCTCGGGCTGCTGTAACAAAGCCTGAGCCCTGGGCGGCTTAAAGCAGCAGAGATGTTTGCTGTCACAGTCCTGAGGACTCGAAGTCCAAGCTCAAGGTGTTGGCAGGGCTGTGCTCCCTCTGAAGCCTCTAGAGGAAGATTCTTCCATGCCTCTCCCAAACTCGGTGGTTGTCAGCAGTCCTTGGCTTGTGGCAGCATCACTCCCATCTCTGCTTCATGGTCTCATGGCCTTCCCCTCTGTGTCTTCACAAGGTCTTCCCCCCAGGCTGTCGGTCTCGGCGCCTCTCTCCTCTTCTTATTAGGACCCAGGGCATATTGGATTTGGGCCCACCCGAATGACCTCACCTAACTCGATTGCCTCTTGCAAAGACCCTATATCCAGATAAGTTCACATTCATCGATTAGGACTTCACCGTATCTTTTGTGGGGACATAATTCAGTCCACAACCTGCCACTGGGGGCCTCCCCTTCTGAGAAAATGATAGTAAAGTACAGATTGAACAAAAAGCAAAGGGGCGGCACCTGCAGGGGAGAGATTTGGGTTCGTTTCTGTAGGTGGGCGTGGGGTGGCAGATGAAATGGAGCAGAGCCCAAGGGAAGTGGGTGACTCTCACCCCTGTGGGTGCCGGGACAGGCTCTGAGCGCCATTCCAGCAAGTGTGCGGGGCCAGAGCGAGAAGTGGGGCTGGAGACAGGAGGACTATTGGAGGGGCCGGCTTTGAACCCGAGACATTCACTTTGCCCCTTCCATCCCCCAAAGGAGAAGCAAATCTATTGACACAGAATCCCCCTGCGCTCCCAGAGCTTATCTGACGCCGTAAATGCTCCTTGGGGTCGTAGGGCGGGGCGAGGGGCACAAACCCATCAGTGAGGCCAGAGAAGTCACCGAAATCCCACATTTCACAGAACGGGACTCCTTTATGCCCAACTGAGGGGAGGCAGAGTCTGTCTTCTATCTGCACAGAAACTTGAGGGCCAGTTGAGCAAAGGTCTGGGAAGTAAACGTAGATGTAAATGAACTGAGCCCCAGAGGTGAAGCTCCCTGTGAACAGGGAGCCCTAGTTGGATGCAGAAGGATCGGGACCCTCTGAGCGGTCACCCCTCCCCCCCACTTTCACCAGACTCCTGGGCTTTGCTCCCAGCCTCCTAAGACAGCTGTTTATTTTTTTTATTTTTTTTAATATATTTTATTGATTTTTTACAGAGAGGAAGGGAGAGGGACAGAGAGTTAGAAACATCAATGAGAGAGAAACATCGATCAGCTGCCTCCTGCACACTCCCCACTCGGTATGTGCCCGCAACCAAGGTACATGCCCCTGACCGGAATCGAACCCGGGCCCCTTGAGTCTGCAGGCCAATGCTCTATCCACTGAGCCAAACCGGCTAGGGCAAGACAGCTGTTTAAAACATGTTTCTCCCAACATTTTATTCTGAAAACTTTCAAATGGATAGAAATGTTGCAAAAATTGTCAGTGCACTTCACCTAAAAGCCCTCCACGTAAATGCCCTTCACCTAGATGCCCAGTGTTCAACGCTGCCCACATTTGGTGGGACAGTTCGTGTGTGTGTGTGTGTGTGTGTGTGTGATTAGTTAAGATGAGGCCACCTAGACTCGCATGCGACCTGACTCCAATAACCAGTGTCCTTATAAGAAGATACACAGAGCCCTGGCCGGTTTGGCTCAGTGGATAGAGTGTCGGCCTGCCAACTGAAGAGACCCAGGTTCGAATCCAGTCAAGGGCATGTACCTCGGTTGCAAGCTCAATCCCCGGCCCTGGTGGGGCATGTGAGGGAGGCAACCGGTCGATGTGTCTCTCTCACATTGATGTTTCTCTCTCTCTGTCCCTTCTCCCCCCACCCCACCCCCACTCTCTCTAAAAATCAATGGGAAAATATCCAGGGGTGAGGATTAACAACTACAACAAAAAGAAGACACACAGGGACACAGACACAGAGGGGAGAAGGTCATGTGCACGCAGAGGCAGGGGTGAGAGTGATGCGCGTACCAGGCAAGGGGCACAAGGGTGACTGGTGCCACCAGAAGCTAGAAGAGGCCAGGAAGGGCCTCCCCTGGGGGCTTCAGAGAGAGCATGACCTGCCCACACTTTCATCTTGGATCTCTAGTCTCCAGATTGTGAAAGAATGAACTTCTGTCGCTTTACACCACCCAGTTGTAATTTGTCACGGCAGCCCTGGAAACCAATTCCGGGTCCCCGCATGTTTAACAGAAGCCGATAGAACCTGGGAAAAGAAATGAGTATGATCATCAGAAATCTGTCATAGCCACAGGGAATAGGAAAGGAAGGGAGGGACAGAGGAGGAGGGGAAGCTGAAGAGTGCTGGCCACGACTGACGATGCCACAGCTGGAAACAGTGTGGAGACAGGGGCATGAAGGGCCCCTGGGGAGAAGGATTCAGTTCTCAACTAGGGGAGAGTATTGTCTCTGGGTACCCGCTAAACTCAAATATGTCCCTGGGATATCTACACTAATAAAAGAGAAACATGGTAATTGGCGTACGACCGCTACCCTTTTCATTGGCTAATCAGTGAGTATATGCAAATTAACTGACAACCAAGATGGCGGCTAATTTGCATATGTCGGCTCCAAGCCACAGACTGAGGCTTTAGGCCTGGGCCGGGGCACCCCCAGCTCCCGCCGCCGCCGATCGCTGGCTGGGTGGCTCCTCCCCGGCCCAAGCCTAAAGCCTCTGCTGGAGGCTTTAGGCCTGGGTCAGGGAGGAGCCAGCCAGCGATCGGCTGCAGCGGGAGCTGGGGGTGCCCCGGCCCAGGCCTAAAGCCTCCAGCAGAGGCTTTAGGCTTGGGCCGGGGAGGAGCCAGCCAAGGATTGTTGATGGCGGCAGAGGCGGGGAACCAGGGCGGAGCCAGCCAGCAATTGTTGACTTGCAGTGGCTGCAACAGTGTGGTGATGGGGCTGGTGCCTTCCCCTGATCAGCCCGTTCGACTCCCACAAAGTGTGGCCAGACTGTGGCTTAGGCCCACTCCCCAAGGGAGCAGGGAGCAGGTAGTAGGACATCCCTTAGGGCTCCCAGTATGTGATAGGGGGCAAGCTGGGCTGAGGGAACCCCCTCCCCAGTGCACAAATTTTTGTGCCCCGGGCCCCTAGTCCTATATAATAAAAGCCCAATATGCAAATCAACGGAATGGCGGAACGACCGGTTGGTGGGGGGCAGGGCCACTGAGCGGGTGGTACCAGGCTGTCGCCTCCCACAGAGGGAGGCCAGACTGTGGCTTAGGCCTGCTCCCTGCACTGTCAGTTGGACATCCCCCAAGGGCTCCTGGACTTCAAGAGGGCACAGGCAGGCTGAGGGGACCCCCCCCAGTGCATGAATTTTCGTGCACCGGGCCTCTAGTGTCACTATAAGAAGTAAGGACCACAAAGATACCTGGGTTGGAGAGCAGGAGGGAGAGACGGGATGAGACCCCAGGCCACCTTCTGGATAAATTCATCAAGGACTTTCTCCAGCCCACGAAAACTGTCAACATTCAGATCAAGACAGCTGTTGGCATCATCTCGAAGTTCCTTAAAGAAATCTGCTTTCGGCATTCCGCTACGAAGGTCCAGAAGCCCATCAAGGTGAGCACTGGCCTTTCTCTCCACAGGGATTACTAAGCAGTGGCTGGCGCCGTCTCCCAGCAGAGGCAAAGGATGAGGAAGGGCATTGGGGAGGGCAGCAACCAGGACGCTGCTGCTCGGGGTGGGGTGGGGTGGTGCCGAGGGACTGCTTCTGTCATTAACAACATACTTTTATTCTGCGAGCATCCTGGGCTGCCGGCACCCGTGGCGGTCCTGGGCTTGTAGCTGCATCACTCAGGTCTCTGCCCCCATCTTCGTCACCGCCTCCTCGCTGTGTGTCTTCTCCCTTTCTCTTCTCTCTTTTTTTTAATATATTTTATTGATTTTTTTACAGAGAGGAAGGGAGAGGGATAGAGAGTTAGAAACATTGATGAGAGAGAAACATCGATCAGCTGCCTCCTGCACACTCCCCACTGGGGGCGTGCCCGCAACCAAGGTACATGCCCTTGACTGGAATCAAACCTTGGACCCTTGAGTCCGCAGGCCGACGCTCTATCCACTGAGCCAAACTGGTCAGGGCCCTTTCTCTTCTCTTAAGGACACTTGTCATTGGATTTAGGGCCCGCAGATCCTTAATTTAGTTAAATCTACAGAGACCCTTTTTCCAAGTAAGATCGCATTCATGCATTCCCACAGACTTACCTTTGCAGGGCCACCATTCAAACCACGAAAGATTGTAAGCGTGGTGTATAATGAACCAAAGGGTGGCCTCTTTCTTCTTCAGGGACTAGAGCCTGATTCCTCCCATCAGCTGAGCTAGTGATTTAGTGGATTGGATCACGCTTGTCCATGACCTGAAGGCCATGGGTTGACCCTCTTCCCTCTGTCTGCCTGAATGAATTGGGCTGGAACAGGGATTAATTGAAGGTCTGTATACAGGGAACAGAATACTCCCCTCTCGCCCCTAACCCGCATAGCCAGGCATTTACTACCTGTGGGTAAAAGAATCCTTTTCTCTACAAAAATGGAATGAGCCTGGCCGGCGTGGCTCGGTGGTTGAGCTGACCTGTACACCAGGAGGTCATGGTTCGGTTCCTGGTCAGGGCACATGCCCGGGGTTGCAGGATCAATCCCCAGTGTGGGGCATGCAGGACGCAGCTGATCAATGATTCTCTCTCATAACTGATGTTTCTATCTCTCTCTCCCTCCCCCTTAATCTCTTTTAAAAGATTACACACACATACACACACCACACACACACATACACACATACACACACCACACACACACCACACACACACCACACACACAC